GAGGGGGAAGCAGGCTCTGCACTGAGCAGGGAGCCCGATGCGGGACTCGATCCCAGGACCCTGGGACCACGACCTGAGCCGAAGGCAGACGCCAAACCATCTGAGCCACCCAGGCACCCTCTTTTCTTTTTTTTTAAGATTTTATTTAGGGCACCTGGGTGGCTCATTCTGTTAAGCATCTGCCTTTGGCTCGTGTCATGATCCCAGGGTGCTGGGATAGAGCCCCACGTTGGGCTCCCTGCTCAGCAGGGAGCCTGCTTCTCTCTCTCCTGCTCCCCCTGCTTGTGCTCTCTCTTTCCCTCTTTCAAATAAATAAAATTTTTAAAACATTTAAAAAGTATTTTATTTATTCATTAGAGAGAGAACATGAACACATGAGCGGGAAGGGCAGAGGGAGAGGGAGAAACAGACTCCCCACTGGGCAGAGAGCCCGATGTACGACTCCATTCCAAGACCCTGAGATTATGATCTGAGCTGAAGGCAGATGCTTAACCGACTGAGCCACCCAGGTGCCCCTCATTCTCAAGTTTTCTGATTTTAGTTTTGTCGTTGATGGTATCATACAGTCCACCTGCATCATTGTGGTCTTTCAGTTGAAAAAGTGGTTTTATTTCCGGTACCTTCCTCAAAGTTGAGAGTGGCTTATCTTTCTTTTTTTATTTTTTTTAATTTATTTATTTGAGAGAGAGAGCACATGAGAGGGGGGAGGGCCAGAGGGAGAAGCAGACTCCCTGCCGAGCAGGGAGCCCAATGCGGGACTCGATCCAGGGACTCCAGGATCATGACCTGAGCCGAAGGCAGTCGCTTAACCAACTGAGCCACCCAGGCGCCCGAGAGTGGCTTATCTTTCATTAGAAGTGTTTGAAGTCTGGGGGTGCCTGGGTGGCTCCGTCGTTGGGCGTCTGCCTTCGGCTCAGGTCATGATCCCAGGGTCCTGGGATCGAGCCCCACGTCGGGCTCCCTGCTCAGCGGGAAGCCTGCTTCTCCCTCTCCCACTCCCCCTGCTTGTGTTCCCTCTCTCACTGTGTCTCTCTGTCAAATAAATAAATAAATAATATTTAAAAAAAAAAAAGAAGTGTTTGAAGTCTGGGGCATAGAATTCATTTTTGAAGTTCTCTTCAGTGTGCTGAATAATTGGCCTTTGCTTCACATAGTTGTTATTATCACATTCCTTTCTCAGATAAAAAAGTTATTATCCTTGAGAGTTAAATAAAACTCCCCCAAAGCATAAGCAATTAAAAGAAAAAATAGGTAAATTGTACATTTTAATGAAGTCTAATTTAGGTGCTGCAAATGATACCATCAAGAAAGTGAAGAGACAACAGGATGAGAGAAAATTTGTGCAAGTCATCTCTCTGATAAGGAAATTTATTCAAAATATTTTAAAACTCTTTGTAACTCAACAATATAGAGATAAACAATCCATTATTGTTTTTAATAAGCAAAGGATCTGCTAAAGAGGATGTGCAGTTGGCCAATAAGCACATGGAAAAGATGCTCGGTATCATTAGTCATCAGGGAAATGCAAATCACATCTGTGATGAAATAGCATTTTTTATGCCTTCTAGGATGGCTAGAATCAAAAAGTCAGATAATAAGTGTTGATGAGGTTGTGGAGAAATTGGAACCTTCATACATTGCTGATAGTAATGTAAAATGGTACAACCAGTTCAGAAAATGGGTGGTTCCTCAAAAAGTTAAACAGAGTTATCATATGACCCAGTGAGTTCACTCGTAGGTATATATCCAAGAAAAATGAAAACACGTCCACACAAAAACTTGTGCATTAATGTTCATAGAAGCAGCAGCTGTAATAGCCAAAATGTGGAAATAATCCAGATGCCCACCATCTGATGAAGGGATAAATAGATGGTATGTCCATACAGTGGTATATTACATGTCAATAAAAAGAAGGGGAGTACCGATATATACTACAACATTGATGAGCCTTAAAAACATGCCCAGTGAGAGAAGCCAGATATAAAAGGCCACATATTGTATGGTTCCATTATATGAAATATTCAGAATAAATTCATAGGACAGAAAATAGATAATGGTTGCATAGAACTAGAGATTTGGGGGGAATGTGGAGTAACTGCATATGGATATGGGGTAGGAATTCCTTTGGGGGTGATGAAAATTTCTAAAATTGTGGTGATGTTGCCCAACTCTGTGAATGTTCTGAACACCACTGAATTGTACACTTTCAGTGGGTGAATTATATGGTATATGGATTATCTCTCTACAGCTATTTAAAAAATAATAGCTCTCCTTTAACTCCTAGCCTTTCTATTTAAGTGTCTTGATTCACCTACCACTGAACTGTCAACAGTACCTACCTTCTAAGAGAATAAGGAAAATCTCCTTAGGAACAGAATAACTTCCTTATACTTGGTCATCTAGATAGTCTTTGCTGATATAATACTGAAAACTTCAGGGAGTGCTGGAGAACAGTTGAGATAAATTACTGTCAAGTCTTGATAAGGTCTTCCTGATGAATTGTATAAGGATAAAACAGAGTATAATTGGGTAGCTAAATATTATAAGGAGGCAGAATTTAATCTTCAGAAAAGAGAAACTGTTGGTTACAACGAAACTTTTTGAGCTCCTTTTGACTCTTCTAGCTCTCAAATCCTTCAGCACATTATTGATATTTAGTGTAAGAAGGTAGTCCTTATTTTATATTTAAAATAATATAGGGGCACCTGGCTCGCTCACATGGTAGAGTATGAAACTCTTGATCTCAGGGTTGTGAGTTTTAGCCCCACATTGGGCGTAGAGATTACTTTAAAAATTAAGAAAGAAGGAAGAATAATGAACTTAGTAATACAGTGCTTTATTTTTAAATATCCAGATTTTAGTGTACCACTACATTTTTTCCCATTTTTCTGTGAAGATCTGGTAAGCAGGAAAAGTATAGGCCCTGAAAGGAAAAGTAAGCCAAAGATTTATTGGTCATACAATCTGCTTCATTTTCTTTTGTTTTGAAATTTTGGTGAATCTGACTCCCTGGAGATCTGTACTTGAATTCAAATGTAGTTCTCCTGAGATTCAGTCTCAAACTATAACAAATACTCTTATTCCCTTTTAGCCTTAAAGCTTCATCTTTGAGTATCCTAAAGAGTAATCATTGAGCTGTGAACTTCACATTTAAACTCTCATAAAAGAGGTTGTAGCTTTTAGTTTCTGTAATTTGGTTTTCATTGTCAAACCAGAGTGGAGTTTTCGTTTGCTGGTTTTGGAACTAACAAAACTTTGTAATTCATTACCATTTTTTATTTCTAACAGCTGCTAAGATTGATCCTTAAATGAAAGGTTTTTGAGGTATAGTTGTTCATATAAAATACAACAATATTTTATGCTTATGGCCACATATTTTGCCTAGTAACTACTTCTGGAGAGTTCTTTCTACTTGGAACCTGTAGTGATTTTTTTTTTTAATTTAAAAGATTTTATTTGAGAGCACGAGCGAGGGAGCACAAGCAGGAAATCATGAACAGGGAGAGCAGCAGAGGGAGAGGAAGAAGCAGAAAGCACGATGTGGGGCTTGATCCCAGGACCCTGAGATAGTAACCTGAGCTGAAGGCAGACGCTTAACCGACTGAGCCACCCAGGCACCGCATCATCTGTAGTGATTCTTGGAACTATTTACCAAACCATAGAATTTGAGTCAGGATTAGATATTCTCCCACTACCTTCTTCACTTCTTTTTGATACTTCCACAAGGAGATCTAGGAGTGTAGGAGAGCTCCAGAGAGAGACCTAAGTCAGTGATTCCAGTAGGTATTCTTAAAATTGACCTGTGTAGCAGAATACTCAATTAAGATTTTAATGGTAGGTCTTCAAATGCTTTTGTTAATTAAATTCCATCTTAATGTGGTTTTAGTTTAGTTTGTCTTTCTCTGCTTTGATGTTGTAGATTCTAGATCATTTTAAAAAGAGACATAATTATTGATCTTTCATCTATTAGTGAGGGACTAGTAATTCTAAAGACCAATACATGAGTGCTCTCAGAAATTTTTTCTTGCTGTAAAAACGAGTCCTAATTTGAATATTATCTACTTTGACTTTACAGTCCTCCTCTATACCAGTATTATAAAAGGAGTATATTATATACTAATGTGTTGGGGAAATGACATAACAAGTTAAAGAGTTGAATCTTTTGGTTCTTTTTTACCCTCATAGGTAAGAAATGCCTGTTTAAAAGTGAAACCTTGGGCCTTGTCAAGAATTTTGTCTCCCTGATAACAAATTTTCATGATGTTCTAGCCAAAATACTTTCTCATTGAGTACCTTATCAGTGTTCTAGACTATACTAGTCATTTTCTTTTCTCTCTTCAGACTCAAACTTGATTTAGATTCCTCATCTTGCCCAGGACTTACCATATTGCTTATAAATGAACTGGGTTAGACAGGGAATGATATGTCATTATGGTGTAGGTACATCGGAGATATTGCTTCATGGTGATTTTTTGTTCTTTTTCAGTGTTCCATTGGCAAGCTACAATAATGGGGCCAGTAAGTATTCAGATTGATTTTAGAATAAATGCTTATATAATTCACTCATTTTAATCCTACTTTTCTTGTTATCAACAGAATGACAGTCCCTATCAGGGTGGAGTATTTTTCTTGACAATTCATTTCCCAACAGATTACCCCTTCAAGCCACCTAAGGTAATTGGGATATGGCACTTGTTTTCTTAATGTACATTCTATGATATTAATAAACCATTTTACAAAAAGTTTTCCTTTTTTCTATAGGTTGCATTTACAACAAGAATTTATCATCCAAATATTAACAGTAATGGCAGCATTTGTCTTGATATTCTCCGGTCACAGTGGTCTCCAGCACTAACTATTTCAAAAGGTAATGGAATGGGTATCTGATATTAAGATAAAGCAGTAGTGTTTTTTGTCTTTTATTTTTTACTTACTTGTTTTTAAAGATTTATTTATTTATTAGAGAGAGAGTGTGTGCACGATCAGGGGGAGGGGCAGAGAGAGAGAGAGAGAGAATCTCAAGCAGATTCTGCGATGAGCATGGAGTCCTACGCCAGGCTTGATCTCACGACCCTAAGATCATGACCTGAGCTGAAATCAGCAGTCGGACACTCAACCAACTGAGTCACCCAGGCGTCCCTGTTTTTTGTCTTTTAAAGGTTACTTATTTTTTGAAATGATTATTCATATTCCTTTTAAGAGGAGGTGGTGGTCCCTGTTATTTATTTGAGTAGACCTCGAGACCACTGGAGGGAGTTGGATTTTCAGGCATAGGTATTCTGGTGTCTTGACAGCTCTGTCCGTTACGCTGTTCAGGCATAGGTTGGAAAATGGCCACTTGGTATGAATTTCTTCTAGAGCAAAGTTAAAGTAGAAAAAATTAATGCCTCTTCCAACCTTGAGATCCGTAAATGATAAGGATAGATACTGTTCCATAAGAGGAAATAATAGCCCTTTTAGAGGAATGCATGTGGTATAGATACAGACTTTAGGTTCTTGAAGAACAAGGTATAGGTAAATTCATATTCAAAGTCTGTAAGGTTTTACCAGCTCTTGTCTTGAGGTTTCTGTCAGAAACAGATTCATTCTCTAAGATGACCAGTTTAATAAAAAAAATTTTATTTGATCCTCTTAATCTTTGTGGTATATAGTCTTGTGTGTTTGAAAATGTGTATTAAAAATTAGTTACTAATTTTGTGATGAAATATCCAATAGTTCTAAATAAAACCTAATTACTTGAGTAGGTTGGGGATTTTTTTATGTCCATGAACTGAGTGGTTAACAAACATTTTCTTATATGCTGATTTGAAATTGTACAGCCCCTCAACATTATATCCAAATGAAATCACAAGTGAGATAAAAATTGTCAAAATACAAATGTAAGAAGTAGGCTGCAAATGAGATAAATGGGCTAATATGTTTAAAATATATATAAAAATCAGTAAGAGAAAAAGATCCCAACAGATGAATGGACAGAAAGGAGCAAAATAATCAAAGAAATGAAAAATTTCTTTTTTGGGGCGCCTGGGTGGCTCAGTCGTTTTGCTTCTGTCTTCGGCTCAGGTCATGATCCCAGGGTCCTGGGATCGAGCCCTGCATTGGGCTCCCTGCTCAGCGGGAAGCCTGCTTCTCCCTCTCCCACTCCCCCTGCTTGTGTTCCCTCTCTCACTGTGTGTCTCTCTGTCAAATAAATAAA